TCCAACATCCCAACAACCTATTCCCAAGTAATAAGCTCCAATGAGAAAGCAAAATGGCAAAAAGCTATGAATGATGAAATGAAAGCAGTAATTGACAATGATACGTTTGAACTTGTTCCACCCCAACAAATAGAGACATAGTGGGGGGGAAATGGGTATACACCGTAAAAGTAGGGCAACATGAAGAAGAGACCCATAAAGCCCGTTATGTAGCAAAGGGATACTCGCTGACTCCCGGTATTGACTACAACGAAACATTTTCGCCAACTGCACGCATGAGTTCTATCCGTGTATTGCTTTAACACGCTGTTCAAAACAACATGCTATTGCATCAGATGGATGTAAAAAACAGCTTATCTTAACGCCCAAATAGACTGCGAAATTTATATGCATCAACCTGAAGGATATGAGGAAGTAGATAAAAATGGTGAAAAATTAGTGTACAGGCTGAAAAAGTCTTTGTATGGATAAAACAAAGTGGTAGGAATTGGAATAACGTATTGCATGAACACTTAATCGGGAAAGCTTTCAAACAATAACTAGTCGACCCATGCGTTTACACGCGATTTGAAGGAAAAGATGTTACTATTCTAATAGTATGGGTAGATGATATTATCATTGTTGCAAACAATGACACATTAATGCAGAGTGTCAAGGAAATCTTAAGCGGCCGTTTCAAGATAAAAGATTTAGGAATATTGTCCTGGTTCTTATGGACTGAAATTAAATGCTCAGAAAGTGAAATAACAATGAGTCAAAGGCAATATATTATTACGTTACTAACAAATTTTGGCATGTCGGAGTGTAAACCCAAACCTACTCCATCATCTTCTGATACAAATAAAATGTCGCATGATCCATCGCCTCAGTTAGAAGATCCGAGTCTTTACAGACATATTGTCGGTAGTCATATATGTTATAACAGGAACTAGACCTAGTCTGTGTTTTATTGTAACAAAGCTGTCTCAAAAGATGGCAAAACTGACACAAGCAAACCTAATAGAGACAAAGCATGTCCTTAGATACTTAAATGATACAATAGATCAGACAATTACATTTAGAAAATGTAAAAGTGTTTTAAAATTGGTTGGTTTTTCTGATTCTGATTGAGCTGGCGATGCGGATGACAGGCGTAGTATTTCAGGTTACGGTTTCAGGTTGAGTAAGAACGGTGGTTGGTTTCTTGGAGGAGTAAGAAGCAATCTACAGTTGCTTTGTCAACTTGTGAGGCTGAGTATATGGCATTGAATGAAGCTATTCAGGAAAAAAATTTTTGAAACAGTTGTGTGTTAATTTGCGTATTTGTAAGGAGGGCGAGTGTGTTTTGTTCAATGTTGACAATCAGGGCGCAATTAACTTAGCAAAGAACTCTATGTACCACAAAATGTCTAAGCACATAAATATTAGATATCACTTTATCAGAAGTGAAATAAGGGCTGTTAAAATAGAAATTATTTATGTAGCAACACATGAAAATGTGGCTGATATATTTACGAAAGCTGTAAGTAAGATCAAATTAAGTAGATTCAAAACATTTATAACTGGTAAATAGATATTAATTTGTTAATTTAGTTAATGAACAAGTGGGGATGTTGAGTCATGCTCATAAACCACAAAAACATGTTAAGGAAACAGTATGTGGGTAGTGTAATTTATCTATGTAGCCGTTCCCACACGGCTAAGAGCCAAGAAACAGTATTGACGTTAGTTAAATTCCCTTTTGTACCATATATAGCTTAAACAGAGGAACTACTCCGACCAATAATAATATTTATTGTTTGTAATAAAGAGTACAAATACTGCTCTGTAAAATAATAAAAACCAGCTCGATTATTAAGTTCACTCGTGGTTGTTACTGAAGGTATAGAGTATATTAAGAAAGAGATATGGCGAGTAACTCGAACTCAACTCGAACTCAACAGTTATATATCTATTCAAGTGGAACGAAACACGAATTCTTATCATCGATTGTACAAACGAATTATCTTACTCTTCACAAACTTCATAAAAAACTAATAACTTAAAGTCAAGATACTAGTCAAATGCCGGCTAACAGGCGATAACGTATATCACAATTATATGTCGTTCCAGCGTGCGGTACAAGCAACCTATGTACTTAGTCGTTAGAATTATGTTATGTCTGATATTTAGTCCGATTCAGTATTATTTGCATTTCTTACACATTGCTCGTTCACTCATACAGACATTCAGTACTCTGTTGATGAAGTTAATCGAACGCAGAAAACTAATGAATTTATTTCGCTTTTGAATTTTGAACAAAATACAAATATTGGCGGAAATTTTCAATCGGGTGAAATATGAGACGTGTCGAACTTAAATAGGAAATAGAACATACTTGTGATCTTATACTCTATCTTGGCTTGTTCGGTTTTACAATGAGTGTTGATTCTGTTGAAAAGTGTTCGTATATAGCTTATTTTGTGTTATAATCGGTCATCGCTGTTAAAATCGGGTATTTTGTCTGTGTGGGTTGTTTTGCGGTATTCCTGTGTGTTTAATGCACACTGCATCAGGGGCGGATCTAGGATTTTTCAAACATCAGTCATAAAACGTCGAAGGCGCTCCGCACCTGGGGGGGGTCTGAGGCATTCTCCCCTGAGAAATTTTGAATTTCAGAGCCTTGAAAATGCCATTTTCAGCGTTTTAGAGCAATACAAAATGTATTTGTGGGCATCGTTTTGCGTAAAACAACACATTTTGCTTACGTTTTTCAAAAAAAAATGAAGTGAACAATACTTGAATGTTTTGCCAAATATTTAGGCTCATTATCATGCCAAATATATGGCTCATTAGCATGTCTAGGAACGTAAAATTTATTTTACAATAATGCTATTCAAAACAGATATAGTCTTTAAAATTTCTACCAAGTTGTCAGGCATAGACCCCCTAGAGACCCCCATTCAAACCTCTATGTAATGAGTTTAGTTAGTTAGAAGTGACAGTTCATAGATATAGAAAAGCTCAGACTTCAAACCATGCAAGTTTATTGTAACCCTTTACCCATCTCCACATCAGTGCCAGCACACTTTTGAGAAAAACTCAAAATTTTTTCTGCCAAAGATTAAGCAAAAATTATCAGAGTGAAAATTTGCAGTTAAGGACAGCTTAATGCCATAAATGTTTATTAGGCATTTCACTAGACTATTATCTCCTGTAAGTATATGCAAGGTGTGCTATATAGCAATCACTAGTAGCATTGTATTTGCAAATACAAACAGAATGTAACCAACATGTCTTTAATTATATAATTACATGAATGTTAAAATTGGTTCATGTGTCATGCTTACTGGTTATGATAAATATCTTTTCATATGATCAAAGCTTGTTTAAATGTAAATCAGAAATAATTTAGTTTAGAAATTATAATGATCATCAGAAAAATTACCTAGTGATCATGAAAAATACTTTGCTGTTTTGCCAAATTTCAAGGTTTATCTGCATACATAGAAAGACATTTTTACTTTATAGAAAATGCTTTTCATACATCAATAGCCCTTTGGAATTTATGGCAAACAATCTGGTATGAGCCAGATTAACAAACCTTTACATCTCTACATGAGGTGTTCAGTTAGAAAAGGGGACAATATGTGACATGGGACAACATTCCATGTATGTGAAATACTCAGGTTTAATACCATTCCAGTCAAATTGTCAAAATAAAAGCTTCATGGATCAGAAGACTCAAAATCACAGGTTATAGTAAACAGCTTCTCATGTAATCAATGTTAGTTTTCTCAAATCTTAAACAATATGTAGTATAACTGTCCAATGATTGAATGATCAATGATCATAAACTGAAAACCCCAAACATTTGTTTATGATAATGTAAATAATAGTATGGCGCCTTATGGCTACAGATTTTTGTCCATTGAAATATATTTGCAGGAATGTAGGATTTCGCTGCCATATAACGGCCACGATTCCCCGCACTAAAGAAATCATAGCTAAAAGTCCTTCGTCAACAACAATTTTAGAAGCATCGATCTGCTTACCATACGCCATATTGACATAAATCGCATCACACACTCGCATAATTGACTTTGATATATTACATTCATGCATACACTTCACTTGTCCTTTACTTACGATTTTGGATGTAAATTTCTGCTGATAAAACTCAAAACAATGTTGGCTTTCTTTTGAACATCAATGACTGAAATGTCGCGAGATCGTCTTTGCCAAGCATTTAGAATTTATCCATAAATTTCCACCCTCTTGAAAAATTCACATTTTGGACAGCAGCATTCATGTCAATATATGAATTTGTAAAGATTTCCATAAATTCCATCTGATTGTAGTTTAGTTTCTATCATGCTTATAAAATTACTATAAAACGATCAAACATTCAATTCAGACAATGAGCTTGACTATGTTAGTTCAGTTGGCTATCAGTCGAAATCCGTCAAACCAATCACAATAAAGCAAAATTCAAATGAACCAATTGTAAGATAGCAATTGGACTCCCTTATACGTCCGGCCACCCTTATTATCAGTCGAGACCATTCCAGACTGTCCACTGATCTGGCTATTGACCAATAAAATAAGCGTTTTTGACGTTCATAGACTCCTTTATCCGTCGAACCAGTCAAGCCACCCCGCTTATCAGTCGGTTATTCCAGGTCAATTAAAATTCAACTGATCTGGTTACCAACGAGATATTCATTGATTAGTCATTAGTTTTCAATAATAAATAATGCGGGATTTTTATCACGAAGTAAATGCGATAAGAAAATAAGAATAATTAACGAATTTTTAATTAATATGAATAGGTAATTTTTGAATTTCAAACATCAGTCGCGCGACGGATTTGACATACTCTAGATCCGCCCCTGACTGCATTACAGTTTACTAGTCTGAACTCTTACAAAAAGAAGGCTCTGAAAGTCACCATAATTAAGTGCCGACCGGAGTAAAATAAAGCTACCCTGTGTACGCTCAGCGCATCTTTTTTATAGGTGTATAATTTACAATAACTTTGGTGACGTGTGCATTTGTGCATTGTGGTTGTATTTATCGAAGAATTAACAAATTACAGACTACGTTGACTATATTAAAGAATAAACCATCTTGAAGCTGTACGAGTTCCTAAAGGCTAAAGACAATTTTGTCGAAGAGTGTAAGTGTCGATATTACAGTATATAGTAATGTCATTACTATAAACAAACAAAATCACTAATACATTAAATTATGCTTCATTTTCTTTTGTGAAACTTGTACGTTTTAGAATGTCTCAAAAACATATATCCTTTACTAAATGCGATAAATTTCATGCAAAACAACAACGATACGGGCGAATTATGATTATTACGGTGATATATTAAATAAATAAACAATTGATACTAAGTTGCGTCCAACGTTAATCGTCATGCTACACTTGTCTAATCGTATCGCGTATGTAAGCAATCCAAATTTGAGCAGTACACTTTTTAGAATTTGTCAATACTGTTTGTTGAAGGAATGCGAACAATTTCGGATGAATTGATAGCATTACATGTTATATAATCTGTGAATAAAGATATTGGAATATTTACAGCATTTGCATGCACGTCATCTGAAGTGAAATTTTCATATTTCGTTTTTCGATGCAAACGTTTTCTCTGTATTTTACTGATCATTTTGAGCTATTGCCCACTGAATTTAGTCGATGGGAACGCATCGAACTTTGCGTTCAAACATGGCATATTTGCTTGTTTTGATGGGAATTTGACTTTGAGCGCGTGACGTCATTTAAAGGACGGAAGTTCAATTTTAAAGCTCTTAGTATATAAAAATTATATACGAACAAGCATATTTCCAACTGGAATTTTACATATTTTATAACTTCTCTTCGCAAAACTTTCGTATATTTAGTGACAAATGAGCAACACGCATAGGTAAGCAACATTTACAATCGATTAGAGTTTTATAAACTTCTTGAATTAACTTATATTTCTGAATAAACTGGGTACAGCATCCTTGACGAAGTCTGCGGTTTTAACACACATGCAATGTTATCAGAAACTAACTGTAACGCGCTTATTTCCAATCATCCAATGTATACTACTTTTATAAACTTCTGGATTAGACTTATCTTTCTTATCATATGGGTGTCGCATCCTTGACGTAGTCTGTGGTTTTAAAACCCATGCAATATTATCGCAACGCACATAATATAAGGAGAATAATTTTTTATTAAGTTAGTCAGACGTAACGATACACCGCAAGTTAAAATATGGCGAGTAGGCAAAATTCTGCAAAAAATCGTCGAGGAGGACAATATTGTGTTGCTGGTTGGCCCAACGGAAAAAGTTGTACAAACAGTCAACACACAGACGGTGTCTCAGTACATCGTTTCCCCATGAATGACAAGGAGAGGCTGAGTAAATGGACAAAATTTGTTTGGAGACATAGGCCAAAATTCGTTCCTCAGCAGTACTCTGTGCTATGTTCAATGCATTTCGCAGATTCTGCATTCATCGTGAACGCAACAGTTGCAAAATCACTAAACATGAGACGATAATTGCGCTCTGATGCTGTTCCAACCATAGACTCTGTAAAAGGCATTTCAATCCAAGGTGATAAGAGCAATTGCGACCGCAGAGTTGTAAGTACAAAATTATACAAGTTAAATTACACAAGTTTGTATGCACAACTTGGAAATGCATGTAAATGTGTCTTATTATCTTCAACAGGTGTTGCGTGAAGTAACACGAAGTGTAAAAGATGTTGAACCCGCTGTTAAACATGCTGATGATGAAGGGAATTCTGACGAGTGTAACACGACAGAAAGCGATGATAGTGAACCAGTTAGAGAGGATTCACCAGAACCGCTGCCAAAACAAGAGCAAGTTGAAATGTGCAGTAGATGCGAGATACTTGCAGAAAAAGTTACAAAACTACAAAAGAAACTCAGTTGGTGAAAAAAATCAAAAAAAAGGCTGAGCAACAGTTTAATCATGGTACGTATTTACTTCTTGAAATAGGTGGTAAACAAATGTATTGAGAATAAGGTGCTTTGTATAAAATTTTTTTTTTTGAAATAACAGGTTCTTTACGAAATAGTCAGAACTTGACCCGTTGGTGTAAATACATTTTATACAACGTTTGTCATCGACCATTGGAAATTTACGCACTGTTACCTATTCTACGTTTTAGGAAAGTGATGATTCCGATACTGAAAGTGACGGTTCTCAATCCAGTAATGAGCCAAATGAATTTTTTAATATCGGCGATGTCCAGGATATTATTGGTGATCCTGACATTACAGATATGGATTGGCAATATGAAGACGAACAGTTTTCATCACAAGATGAAGCTGAAGATTCCCAGTCGAAAAACAGTTAGGTGAGTTATAGCATAAATGTCGTAGAAAACGAAGTTCAACTTGTATGAGTATGTGCTTAATTCTGTTTAGCATGGAACCTGGTACCCTGCCATGTGACGAACCCAAATTCTTGTCTTTTATGGCATGCTCATATCACTGTTCAGCATGTTTTGCTTCAATCGCAAAAGTCCAAATCCTCAGATGGAAATCAAAAAGAAAGGCTCAATGGCTGTTGTAACTCAATGTTGTTCTATTTGTGGACCAACTAGAAATTTTCAATGAAACAGTCAGCCATATGTATTGGGAAGGCACGCGGCTGGAAATCTCATGACAAGTTTTGCCATTCTGATGTCAGGTGTCAGCATAAGTAAAGTGTTTTTACTATTCAAGCATTTGGACTTTTGTTCAATCACCAGCAGAGCGTATTATTCACATCGAAACAAGTTCCTGGTCCCCTCAGTGTTATTGCACTGGGAGAAGTATCAAAAAGCCCTGATTGAAAATGTGAAAAATGTAGAAAATGCTACTTGGTCTGGTGATGGCAGATTTGGTTCGATGGGCCACAGTGCTAAGTACTGTTCTTACTCCATGTTTTGTAACAGTATTTCCAAAATAGTTCATTTTGACATCAGACAGGTAGTCATAATATTTTTTTCAACTAATAAACAAATATTTTCATGTACATTTAAGATAATCAGTTCATTTTACTTGAACAAGACCTCAAAAATAATATTATAGTTTTTACATAAACTTCATTACCTTTCGTATAGTCAAATCAGTCTGGTAGTAGCAATGCCATGGAGTTAGATGGAGCTCAAAGATGCTTCAAGTTTCTTCAAGCTAGTGACTACAAATTCCAATATTTATCAGCGATCGTCACAAAGGGATTGCAAAGTGGATTCGAACATCTGAGAAGGAAACCCAGCACTTCAATGATTTGTGGCATGTTTGCAAAGGACTTTCCAAAACAATATTAAAGGCTAGTAAAGAAAAAGGCTGTGAGTTGCTGGTGTTTTGGATTAAAGGTATCCGCAACCACTTATATTGGTCGGCTATGTCTACTAAGATGAGATATGGAGATATGATTTTGGCAAAACGGAAATCCATTGCTAGGCACATTACAAACAAGCATGAAAACAATCCAGATGAGTTGTTTCCTAAATGTGCTCATGGAGAGCTAGATAAACGTCTATGGCTTCAAGTTGGTATGAGCATGCACACATTTAGGCAGCAAGACAGAATTGAGATTGTTAAAATGTCTAAAATGTTATTTACCACTTTTCAGATGGGATTGTATTCTTTTTAAGGAACTAAATCATATCAGCGACTTTCCTCCATTCTGTTGAAAAAATCTGTTCTCAAAGATGTTGAAAAACTATCTTCAGAAGCTCAAACTAGTTGTCGCGAAGGTTTTCATTCAACATTAAATGGTTGGCATCCAAAGATGACCCACTTTTCTTGGCTTGGTACATATTGCAGGTCTCTATCTGCCAAGGCTTTTTTACTTGTTCCTAGTCAAGAAAAAAAAAATACATAGTAAATGGTTTGTTGTGTTTTGGCACGTACTGGCAGTACTTTATTTTAATGAAAACCTTCACAGACAGCCAAAAAAAACAAAAAATGGGACACCATATTATTCTGTGACATACCCAAAAGTTAAATCAGGGGATGAAGTAGTAAGAACTGTTTCTTCAGAACCATCATATTGTAAGTTTAGCATGTATGCATTGGTACTCTTGACTTACACATCTAACCACTTGTCATTTTTCCAGACTATGTTAATGAAATGAAAAATGTCATGGTTCTTAGTTGTGAGGAATCCATTGACAACATATTTAAGAAGTATAAGGAAAAAGTCCCAGAAGCCTTAAACAAAACTTTCTCGGATCGAATTTCCAAAACTGAGGCAATCCAACGGCATTTGGATAGGAAACAACTATGTTCAACACCATTGTTTCCCACATGTAAGTTCTTCATGCTACCATGTATAATAGGTATGGCCAGTGCATTCTAAAAGTAAACACATTAAATTGTTATTTATAGATCAACAGCAAGATGTACTGCAAGCAAAAGGTTTAGACAAAGAAAAACAAGCTGCTTCAACAGGTCCTTCAGATCAAAAAAAAAACGCGCTTATGCAAAAATTGTGGACAGCCAATGAAAGGACATCCAAAAGGTCATTGTCCACAAGAATTACTTGACAAATATTCTTAGCAGGCCAACTTTAAAGTTAGTTATAAAATAATATACTATGCTACAAAAAATGTTTCCTACTTCTATCAGTTTCTTTCCTGTGCTGACTTGTAGCCAGCAAGTTCTTGGCCTAGGGGATTTCGTAATGGAAATCGTTTTCGGATGTCTGTGTAGATACATGCAGGTAATGGTCTAGAATTTTCCCAACCAAGGCATCCACACAGCCATCGAATGACCCAACGGTATGCAACTGCTCTCAAGTATCTATGAGAAATTCAAAATAGTAATTTCTATTTGATTATTTATTTTGACTTCACACAACAAAATTGTGAAGCATCACAGCACAATAATGAACCACATAAAGGTAAAAGTAGAGATACATGGCAAGATATTAATCATTCGTTACAAAACAAAATTAGAAATCAAAATGTACTAACTCATTTTCATGTATTCTACGACGCTTGTATGACCTTCCATCTTGGTCTCTTAGAAGTGAGCCAACATTCTTCAAGACTGTAGCATGTGTCATAATCGTGTACTCTTCGTGAAGAGTAACACAGCTAATTTTTTCAATGCTACCATCGAATACCAGTTTATGTAAAGTAGGCCCAACCTCTTGACAAAAAACGGTATTCAATGGCATCTGTCAGCAGTTGAGTACGACACAAGCTACATGCACACCTATAAAAAAGTGGTTGTTATCATATTTATGCACCACGACATAAGGACAAAATATCATGTTTAATTCATGGTTTAATTTCTTCTAGAGTTCTAATAACATTTATCAACTTACCACTTATCTAACTGAACGGTTCCTTCGAACCTCGCTTCCAATGTTCGAGGTTCTAAGCCATCTGCGTCTTCTTCGACCGACACAAAATTTTCTCCTACTGCGTTTGCAAGAGGTTCATTTTCGTAAGGATTTACAACTGAATTAGTCACAATTGTATCCTCATCGCTGGAATTCGAAAGTAAATTTTCATTTGCCATATCCGAGTTTTCAGTATCCGAACTGCGTTTGCTTTCACTGCTTGAAGAACTCATATTTTATTGTGTATATGTGTTAAAAATCTAACAAAATACTAGTAAATCAATGCTCATACTTCGACTTCCGTCCTTTTAATTACGTCACATCCGTATAATATTTCAGTAGTAAAAATTCCCACGCGTAACCCAAATTTGAGCAAAAATTTATTGATGATCCCGTGCTTCAATATGCATAAAAATTATACCAAATGATCAGGAAAGATAGAACTATTTGATTATAGAAAAAAATCAATACCCAAAATTTCACTTCAGTAGCACTTTAACGCATTACCTAATTGAAATACGTATAGATAAAATTCAATAGCAGTTGCGTATCGTTCAAAATGCCAGATGAGTACTTTCAATAGAATTCCTTGATTAGTCATTCTGTATAGCGAAAGTCAACAGCGTGAGTCAAATTCGAAAGCACTTATTGAGCATTCATTAACGTCTCGGAATGTACAATAGTATAATAACAAATAACATTAAAATTCTATAAAATGTCAATAACAATATAAATGTTTGCAATTGTATGATTAACCTCAATATTCTTTCTTTTAATTTCATACTTTTTTAAGTGTATAAAAGTGAAATTGCGAAAGTGGTCTTCTCTATTTTACTGGTAATTAAACTAGATTTTATCAGTTTCCTTAAACTCGTAAACCAGAGAAAAAGACGTAAACACGGTAAAGATGGAGAAATTTTAGTTCGCACATTTGAAAAAGTCTATCTTTTAGTTCGCACATTTGTAAAGTCTATCTTGAAATGGCAGACACTGTTCCGATAAATAGCAATGCTATCTTGACAGTTATAATTATGCTATTGCACTTCCAAAGACGTTAATGAATGTTCGCTAAATACTTTAGCAATCCGGCTCATGCTGTTGACTTTCGCTTTACATAATGCATACTACACTTTGGTTAAAGGGTTGAGTGCGAAAAATTTTTCACGATATTTCCAGTCTGAAACGTGACGTTTTCTTGACGTTTATTGCATAATTTAGCCGCGGTTCGTTCCTGTAGAGACATGCACTACAGTCTCTGGCGCTGTTAAAGTTTGTTCTACCTGGTACAACTACAGTAAAGAAAGTGTGGACGCAGCAGAAAAAAGTAAGATTCTCCTATCTATTCTGTTGACGTTAGTGATGAACTTCTGCGTTACTTGCTACATGGTGTTGTCTCTTCGTGAATTCGTACACACATTCTAAAAATCTCATTAGAATTTGGTACTGCTGTTAACCAGCGCATATCGTCTTGTAGATCAGATTCGTCCCTCATGGTTACAAAGTTATTTCTATCGTCTCTATATTGCAGTTGCGCACATTGGGTGTCAACTCCCTCCATAACTTCACAACTGTCTTAGCGAATATTTATGTATAAATTTGAATAAGTCAAACTATTTTTTGGATCGAATGAACCTTATCTCCATAATAAGTTTTATGTACGTATGGGCATTTTAGAAAATAAGCGTGTTACACAAACATGCAAAGATGTTGTTTTTCCAAGGAAAACTTGTTTAATGGGCTTGTTAACCGTTGACATATTTTTTAAAAAAACGTGCCAATTCCCGAGTACAACATGCAGTAAAAGGAAGGAAGCGTAACGTTTTAGACATGGAAACATCGTGAAAAATTTCTTGCATTCAATGCTTGAACGCAAATGATAGTAATGAAGTGAATTTATTGAAAGTACTAATATGCCAAGTTGATGTTACACAAACGCTATTTAACTTTGTATTTACGTATTTGAATTGTGTAGCATTGACGAACTTCCTTTTTTATCTAAATGACATGCAAATTCTGTCGTTTCCACATTTGAAAAACTTTCTGAGGTCTCTCTTCAAATGGCAGACACCGTACGGTTAAATAGTGCTGCTATATTTAGCAACTATCGGATAAGGTTGGTCATGATATCAAGAATTATTCAGACCGATGTCATTGTTCTCTTTCGCAGCGAAGCTAAGGCGGATAACATTGACCAAGGTCTGAATAGTTCTTGATATCATGCGAAACACGAGTTTAATAATTGTTTTAATATTCAATGAAGTATTATCAAAGCATATCAATATAAAACCTTTTTTAAACCTTCGCTAATTTTTTTTTTTTGTCAGACGGTTTTTTCAAGTTCGTCTCGTTTAAAGTGCTTATATTACGAATTTTACCCCTTTCTATGAGCCTAATTGAAAATTTGAATTATTTGAAAAACTATGACATGTCGCTGGACTTAAACAGATAAATATAAGCTCCTTAATTTTGCCTCCAAAGTCGAGTACTATTTGCGAATTTTTTACGAATTTTTATTGATACTTGTGACGTAGATAGTTGAACACGTCTGTTTCCGTCAATATAATATTATATTATAGGAGGTGATTTTGTTCTCGTTTTTCTTGCCTTAAAAACAAATAATGACAGTATTTTCAATAAAATATTAAAAAACAAGTTTTCCGATAAGTATGGCCTCAAATCAGTGCTCAGATAATTCGAATTCGATGTCTGAATGCGTATCTGATTCGAGCTCGGAATCCGTGGGTTATGTCGAGCATTTAAACGACTTCGCATATGACGATGAGCCGCTCGCAGGAGATGGTGATGAAATGCATACTCCAGATCATCCCGATGGAATTCTCTCTGCAACATTAGAACAACGAAGTGATGGCGTAATTCCACTCGGTGAATGGTAAGTTTTTGTTTTCTCCTGTTTGTAATATACATAAAGTTATTTTATAAACCACAATGCTCCCACGTTTCAGGTGTAATTGTCAATGCTGTCATACGGATTTGTTAGAAGGCGCATTAGAGTACAGATGCTGTAAAGAAATAGGACCAGCATTGCAGAAAATGACATTCGATGGCAGCATTGAGAAAATATCATGCATAACACAGCATGCCAAATTTGGGCCTTTAGTTCATGAGGCTGTCCTTGAAAACGTCGGGCCACTATTGAGAGATAAGAATGGACGTGCTTATCGCCGCCAAGCATCACAATCATTAAATATGTAAGATTGTAAATTGGATGAGAAACAATGTTATCATCAACATTGTTTCATCAACAATAATTAGTCCAACCTTTTTATTTACTTCAGGTACTTGAGAGCTGTGGCATACAGATGGTTGATGCGATGGTTTTGTGAGTCTATAGGATGGGAGAATACTCGGCCTTTACCTGCTTGTGTTTACCACATAAAGTTCTTTTCAACACATTTACCGCAATTTTGCTCTACAATGGCCATCGAACCAATGTTTTTAATGTGCACTTTTGGATTTTCAGCCTTGAATGTTAAAGCAAAATTTTTCAAATAACTCAACCAATGAGATGTAAAATACCATGAACATAGGTTGTTCGTGCGAGCTTGCTCCTTCATCAATTCTGTAACACGATTAAGAAAATTCATTATTATGAAATACAACAGAGATCTAATTCTTTATAAGATAAAATACTTGACTGTATTACTTGTGGTATCTTCATCTAAATCTTCACTCTGACTAGAATCTTCAAAAGAGGAGTAGTCCATGTATGATTTTCCTTCGAAAAGCTCTTCAGCACTCCCCTGCATTCCATCGTCTATATTAATGCTGGTCACCACGGATGTATTACGATTTTCCCTGATTTTGCTTCGATATTCATTTTGCAACTTCTGGGCCTTTTTTTTCTAAGATGCTTTTGTCTTTTTATAGCAGCTTAAAGTCTTTTGTAAAGATGTAAGTTTTTTCTTAAGACGATGGCACTATTTACATGGAGACTGGGATTCACAAATATCTTCACCAACTGCATGTAGTTCTTCTTCAAATGGCGGATCGTTCGCTTCCAAGTGCATACTTCAACATGCTCAGCTCCATCACTAGAAGATGGTACTTCCTCATCGAGAAAACATGTTTCCTTCAGCGATGGCTTATAGAGAGTATGTCGAATAATCTACAAAACGTATATCAAATTTACATATGACAAAAGAAAAATTTACATAAACAAGCGTAAACTTAGTTGTCTTCTCTTTCGATTGATTATTTCGTCCTGTAATGGTTCAGGAATCCCAGCCACGTCAATGGTTGGGATAGCATCTTTCTTCAACCTTCTTTTGAGCTTGACTTGCGCGCTCAAATTAAGGTCAAAACAAGAATGTTCAAAATGCGCAGAACACAGACACGAGGTAGAGGAAGCCTCAAACCCGGTCTATGTTTACGCACAAAATTTACCCATTTTCTATGTCTTTGCGGCTCTGTTTCTTTTTTAGGAAACAGATGCATCGACATTCCTTCGGTTTTTGAATCATTGGCGCAACTAATTTGATTAGATCCGCCTGCAACACAGCGTTTTCCTCCGCGTTTCTTAGTAAGATTTCTAGTAGAATACGCCATGTTGATATATGTGTTCAACTTTCTACGTCACAAGTCATTAGCATACCGATTAAAAAGTTCGCAAAAAAAATGCTGAAAATCGTGAATTAGAACGTCCGTAAAATCACTTTCACCAATCCAATTTCAATTATAATTGCAGATTTAAAATCGCTGAAACAAGGTCTTTCAATTAAGCTCATAAAAAAGGGGGGCTAAAATTCGTAATATAAGCACTTTAAATATTTTGTAAATGTGTTCAAAGGCAGCTTCTCGCTTTTTTAGTGTTTCCCACAGCCTTTTCCTTTAAAAGCTTTCACATCTTTCTTTCAAACTGTGGCAAATATCGCTGTTGTTTGATTTGTTTTTAAAACCAGCTTTTAATGGCGGCCATATTTGTAGAAACAATTATCTGTAGGTTATTACGTCATAACCTACAGATATGGAGAATTCTCTCCAGATGGTTTACCAATCATAGCCGAGAATGCTCCAAGGTTTGTTCCAAGACTTACTGGACACAAACGAAGAACAAAGAAACAAGAAAAAACTAATCACATTGCCAAACATCACCGAGTCACAAAGCACAACATTCACTGGGACTCGGCAAAATGCATTACATACAATTCTGACTATAGACAACGGCTTACATTAGAAAGTAGGTATACCAACTTGGAACAAACCCCCCCTGAACAGATCACAGTAATTACCTGCACCTTACAAACGACTTATGCACTATACAAACAAATGATAAACTAAAAACATTAGACTTCACACTAATTCACAATGACATTACAGAATTGACACCCACACATTTCCTGTACACATAATAGAATGACCTAAGAACCAGATAAAGAATACGGCTAACTTGACGTTTATTCCCCATTTGACTCTGAAGATGACTACCGCTAAGGTTGTCGAAACGTCAGTGAACAACAACAAAAACTTCTTCGTCGTGCGTAGAAAAAAAACACACCCCAAAGCCTTCGAAACGATCCAAAATATCGGTAATTGAAGGATTCTTTAAAGACCAAGTTGAGAAAACCTGTACTCTGGGAGAATATGCATCATCTGATAGTAGTACTAATCAATTAGAATTATAATCGATGAAATGGAAAGTCTAGAGATATCTTGTGAGGCTATATCTCGATCTCCGCTACACAATGAACAGCAACCTTCCTGTTCTAGCGATATTCTCTCAATTAATAAATGCTCACCTGAAACAATTTCGACTTCGAGTCCATATGCTACAAATTGTAACATTATCCTGAATTTAGAAAAGCTTAACTATGCAAAAGTTTCTTTTATCCCTGCTCAAAAATTATCAACGCGAACATTTCTTTTTCAGTCAAAGTTCTATAAAGTATTTGAATGATTTATTATGATACCGAGTTGAAAAAAATTATGTGTTTCCACTGTTCAAAAGCTAGAAGAATAATAAATTTTGCCATTACAAAGATCTAACATTCATTTCAGTAGGATTCAACAAATGGAAGAAGGCAATTGAAAAGTTTAAGTTGCACATTATTCCATACACACATCTCGGCAGTCAATGAAATTGCAGCGTCGAAAAGGCCATCGGTAAGTGTCCAAATACAAACGCAGAAACAAAAGGAACAAGCAATAGCAAGAGCTGCCTTTTGAAGTTGTTCACTTCAGTAAAATATTTACTGCGACAAGGCTTCACATTTCGTGACCACGATTAAAGTGATGGAAGCTATGTACAGATCTTAAAGCTTAGAACGGAAGATGTTCTCATTTGCAGACATATTTGAGAAAAAAACAAATTTTACTTTATCTTGCGCACAGAACGACATGATTGAAATGTTAAGTCACCAAATTATATAGAAAGTTGTTAGTAAAACAGGATGAATTTTACGCTGTAATTGCTGGTGGAACACAGAATTTAAAGGGTCAAGAGCTAGAGTCCTTTTTTGTGAGGCACGTGGACTCAGATCTTAATGTACAAGAGATTTTTATTGGTCTGTATGATGTTCCTAGTACTACCGGTGACGTTTTTTCTCGTACGGTCTTTGATGTCCTAGCTCGATTTTGATTACTCATGCGCAACATGACTGCTCAAACATATGATGGGGCAGCAAACATGAGTAGTTGTTATTCTGGATGTAAGGCTAGGGTGCAAGAAGAACAACCTCTAGCATTCTTTTTTCACTGCGGATCGCATGCTTCCAATCTTTTAATGCAACATGCTGTAACATCCTGTCAGTTAATTCAAGATTCTTTGCATTGGTTAAATGAGCTAGGTGTGCTTATGAAGAGATCTGGCAAATACTAAGCGATATTCTTGAAAATTTGTAAATCAACAGACAATGACAATTTTCATCCCACTGTCATCAAGTCAATTTGTGCTACCAGATGGTTATGCAGACTAGCAGCCAGACAGCTAAGAGAGTTATTTAAGAGAGCTTGATATTCCTGCTGTCTTGGATGGGTATGAAAACATAAGCGTTAGTTTGGAACACCAAAATTTTACATAAAGCCATGTCTCTAAGTGCTTGGTAGGAGTTGAGATAAAGTTAATATATACTTGTTAAATTTTTATTGACGTGTTGATTTCTTAAAAAAAACATAATATTTTTATTGTCATTGTAAAAATAGATCAAGAATATGCATCGTAATAATTTGTATAAAAAAATTCAGTTGACAGTTGAGTTTTATCTCTAATGCAACACGATTTCTAATGTACTTAGAAGAATTGTATACAAGGTTGTATTGTACATACCCAACATTTGTCTGATTAAGTAATATATGAGAACTCTTTACAACACGTCGTGAATAACATATATTAAAGGAACTCTGATTTGATTTCAAACAAATTATTTGATTTTTACCCTTAGAAAACTTGTAAAATCTCTGCATGTATATCGCACGCTATAATAAATAATATAAAGTAATTAGGGTGCAGTACTCGTTTGTACGTCACAGCGAACAAACCTGGCGGCAATAAAGTTTCCACGAAATGACAAAGTCTGAAGATTAATTTAGTTGACTTCTACTTGACGCACGAAAGCTATTTATACATCAAATTGCTTCTTAAAAGCCAAATCTTTTAATAAGCAAATAAAGCAAAGCGAAAAATTCGTTGCATAATCAGTTGAGAAGTGAAACAGCATCAAGCAAGTTTTCCAAATGAAGCAATTTTCCCACACACTCAGTTTGCTAGAGAAACCGTTGTCCTTTTCTAAAATCTTAAACGAATTTGTAATGTTTGTTAGGTAAAAAACAGTACTATTTTTCTCGATTTTTAAATTACACTTTTTGAAAATATCAGCAAATGCTTTCTATAAAAGGCAAAAGCAGTTTCATGGTCGTATATGGAAATAGATGCCTGAAGGAAATTGCTAGCACATGAATAGTGACACTTATAAGATACATAGATTTTTGAAGTCAGTAAACATAAATATATTGGTGTAAAAAACTCATTTAGTCTGTTTACATTTGATGAACTTTAATGATTAAGGCTCATTAAAGTAGAATGTTAGAAAAAGTAGTTCAATCTGAGAGAGTGCAATAACACATTTTCTCTTCACTATTTTTATACAGATAACAATGCACTCAATATTGTTCTTAAAAAAGAAATCCTGCATCAAACGAAACCCTCCGACAATGACTTGAAAGTGTCATGCATTGATATTGAAGCATGAATATGCATGATTTAGTATGAATATGCATGAAGCATAAATAGAAAAGTAAAATTGTTAACAAAGCTAAAATTTTGACTGCTGAAGTTGTACATTAATGTAAATATTTTGATTATATAACAACTTAGAAACTATTACAAACAAATCAAACCATACATTTCCTTCTTATGATATCACAGATTTTTACAGCACGATTTCTGAAGACATTATAAACACAACCATTTGATTGGTCAAAATAATAATAAGCATCTCGGAAAAAGATATTTGTTTTATCAAACATATACAAAAATCACTGCTGGTTTACAGCAATAAAGATTTTTACCGACTACTAGACCAATCATCTTACAACCCTACATCCCAAAAAGCCACCACAACCAGAACATTAACAAGACGTGCACAAATCATATGTGATTCACCGGACGCTCTACACAACGAAAACAACTATCTCAAACGTGTTTTTGACAAAAACAACTATAACTCCGACTTTATCAAACGCAACACTTACAAACCCAACGAACATAGCGAAACGGACAACTGAGTGACAACAGCAACGATACCTTACTTCAAATGTACGTCTGAGACTATCTCGCGTATCTTGCGACCATACAACATGCGTGTCGCACAGAAACCAATCACAACGTTACGACAAGTACTAACGAACATAAAGGATAAAGAACAACCCAACGAACGACAAGGTGCAGTTTACAAAATGAACTGCTGCGACTGCCACGCCTCCTATATCGGGGAAACTGGCAGGAACTTAAACATAACACTTACTGAACACAAACGAACTACTAAGAAACAAGACAAAACTAATTACATTGCCGAACATCACCGAATCACAAAGCACAACATTGACTGGGACTCGGCAAAAGGCATTACTTAGAGTACTGACTATTGACAACGGCTTCCATTAGAAAGTTGGTATACCAACTTGGAACAAACCCCCCTGAACAGATCACAGCAATTACCGGAACCTTACAAACGGCTTATTTACCTTATTTACAATACAAACAAACGATCAACTAAAGACATTACACTTCACACTAATTCACAATGACAATACACTATTGACACCCACACATTTTAACTAAAAACACCACACCTAAATCACACATCACAACTAAAAATAAAAATATTTCACTTAACATTAATTCACAATGACAATACACATTTCCTGTACACACAATACAATGACGTAAGAACCAGATAACAAATACGGCTAACCTGTTGCTTACTCCTCATTTGACTCTGAAGATGGCTACCGCTAAGGTTGTCGAAACGTCAGTCAACAACAACAATAACAATCCTCAGGACTATGCCAACCTGGACGATCTACATTTACAAACATTTAAAGATTCAACTATTATCTGTGTCATTGAAAATAATACATATGAACGCTCTAAACTACTATGTTTCATAATGAAAGTTTTCGAAGTGCTTTGCATCAGTTTTCAAAGTAATTCTTTTTATGGTTAAAAATGAATATATGTTAGCCAATGATAATTGAAACTTTACTAATACCTCAAAAATGAAAGGGACGTTTTGTTTTTCTATATTCTAAGAAAAGCGAAACTCTGCCCCCCCAGTATTGACATTTATCGACGCCCTTGCTTGTCAGTAACACAATTCTTATTATAAAAATGGTCATTATTTTATTCTTTTCTATTTGCAAAAAATTTTGGCAGATTTTGCCCACTGATCACTTTTCTTGTGAGGTTTTCTCAAATGCTTAGTTTTTTAATAGACTTTGTATATTAGATACGAATTTCGCACTCTTGCAAATATATGGCAATAAAATAAGATAAATAAGTCAAATAATTGACAATTTTTTCTAAAGTGTTCAAAAAAAAACTCATGTTAAATAGTTATTTCTACAACCAAATGTTCAGAGCAATTAACGAGAACACCAAAACGCTAACAAAAAAATGCTATTCAACATAAAGATATATCGGTCCCATATACAAAATATTTATATTCTTATCACTTATGTGTTTAAAAATTGCTGCGTTATAAGTACTTCGATGTATTGTTTTTTACATCATGCTTCATTAAAAAATTTGTATGATTGGACATTAATTGTTCATGAATCATCTTGTCAATTTTTGAATTTTTAAATCTTGTATCTTTGAAACTCCTTTATGTTATTGTAAAATAAAATTTTTGATTTTTTTATCTAGTCCTTTCTGTTTTTGCCTTTTTATATTATTTTAAACAAATTGAAGATGCAACCAAGCGTTATATCAGTAATAGTTAGTCGTTAAAGTGATCTACTCGGCTAAATTTGCCAGACACAGATTTTCTTAATTTTGCCAGATAATGATAAACCATTCCAGCGTCTTTTGTATTTCATATTTTTTTGGTGTAAATGCTAATTCTACATATTTAGTTGTAAGTTTCTTTATTAAGAAATTTTCTAATTTTTATGATGTTATTTTATATTATAAGTTTGACGTTATCTCTAACGTATTTTTTTTTTACTGTAGGTCTTCTAATTCCTGTTTAATGGCAATGAGTTATAAGTTTCGCAATTGCGTAAGATTAATAGTAGTGGGTTTGTTGTTAACAACGATGTTGACTTGGAACAAAATTAGATTCCAACAGAAATTGTTTTACTGTGATAAACATTGTTCACCTTTACTTAAAACTGAAGAAAATAAGACAAAGATACATCTTATTACAAACTATGCTTTAATGTACGAGCCACCTTGGAATCAAAGTCAAACTGAAAACAGTATGGAGAGGATGCAAGAAAGGCAAATTGAGCTGGAAGAAACTTTGCAAAGAAATCTTAACCATTATATGATTGGAAGTGTTCATGTTATTGTCAATCAAGAAAAAGCAGAAAAGAGATTGATCGAGCTCGATTTATTCAACAAACACAAGTTACACGTCGGTCGTATTGAAACAATGCCGACTTTCAAGGATTTTTTCCAATATATACGAGATGATCTGCTAAATAGGATTGTGGTTCTTACTAATATGGATATCTACCTTGGAGAAGGTTTTGAAAAACTGAATCATAGTTTATTCCTTAAATATAAAGTTATTTATGTGTTAACCCGGCATGGAAGACGGGAAGAACGTTGTGATATGTTTAACAAGCCCCGTTATTGCGGTACTGGAAAAGTTGTTTCCCACGATACTTATGTTCTTCTTCCACAAGCAGATGACTTCAACCAAAATATTTTGAATGAGATGAATTATCCAATGAACTTAATGAAAGCTGAATACAGATTGGCATGGATTTTTAAAAATTTGATGAATAGAAAACTAGTAAATCCGTGCAAACTGTTGAAAACCTACCACAATCATTGCATAAATATTCATGGAAAGCATAGACCAAGCATTGAAAAATCTAGAAAGAGACTTCTAAAAGTTTCTCCAGCAAATACGTTATTACCTTGACAAAATTTTTTAAAAAAACTGTGAGCTGTAAAATGCTTGTCAAACTATGTGTCGGCTCGTTGAATACGTATACAGTTCAAGTCAAGACATGTAGTTTCGATGGACTGAGTAGAGAAACACACAGTGGGCTTTTATTAGTTTTCAATTTTTTGATATTTGGTCATTTACGAATAAGTGGATGTTGCATATATATTACTGCTATATACATCCCTGATTCCTGTTAGCAACTTAGCAATGTTTTTTTGTGAAACTTTAAAAAGTCGTATGAATGCAAATAAAAGAAGTTTGACTCACACCAGGTTTCATATAGGATTGAAATGTATATGTGATACAACCACGCATTAGTATCAGGCATGCTATTAATATTTTTACTGTTTACAATATATGCAGAATTTGCGCATGTGTTTTGAATGCGGTGTAATTACGACAACATTAATTTGATATTATCATGTAAACAAACTGCAGAAGTAAAAAGTTGAAGTTTATTTAATGATAAAGAAAAAATTTTACGCCCTGAGCAGCTTACTGTATATTAAACTATGGTCGTTATAGAAGTCCATGGATAAAGAATTTTTCATTTATATCTCCTCCGTTTAGCTCCAAGAGTAAACACTTTGCTTAAGATTTACTACTTTTATTACAACTATTGTATTTGATCTTGTCTTGACAAAATATTGAAGTAATCTTTCCTAACAATTTTAATAGAGTTCTTTGTTATTTCAATCTTTTCCCTATGTTTCCAAAATGGAACAACAAAAAAATATTTAAGAATGCTGCATAAAACTTGCACTGAAGTGTGTTCATTACCATACATCTTGAATTGATACATTATAATAATAAAATATTTAATGCTAACACACTCACGATACTATAGTAAATGTTTCAAACTTTGATGCATCAATGTAGCAGTTAATTTTGGAGTGGTATAGTTTTAGGTCTGTTTTTTTACTCAATAAGTTGCACGTGAGTTTAGCAGGTTAAAAACTACAAATGAATTCAGAAACAATAATGATTTAGGACTTCAGCCATTAATTGCAAACCATTTGTTTAATGGAATACTTTCATGAGAAAACTCTTCATAATTTGGTAGCCGGGATTAATTTCAAGAAATTAGAGACATCATCACTGATATAAAACCAGTTCCCCAACCACAAAGACGCATATAATTTAGCGTTTGACCAAAGGTTGAAGAGGAGCTAAGAAATTTAGAAAAAGAGGACGATATAGAATGATAGATAAATTAAACAACTGGGTGTCTCCAACAGTAATTACACCAAAGAACACCAAATCGATTCCTTACAATGTGGATATGAGAGTAGCTAACAACGCCATCCCCAAAGTAAACAGTCTGCCAAATTTAGATGAGCTACTATATAAGCTCAATGGAGCAATAATATTTTCAGATCTAGATATGAACCATGGATACCTTCACTAATAACTCGATGAAAGCAGCAGAGATATTACAATATTCTTAACCCATGTTGGCTTATACTTATACAAAAGACTCAATTATCACAAAAAATCAGCGGGAAACGTTTCCCAAAATAAAACAAGAGTAAGACCTTAGCAATACATACGGGGTGAACATTGTTAGTGATGACATACTAATGACAGGAGAAAACTAACAAAAATACAAACAAATACCAGAACTTAAATGAAGATATGATCTTCGCAATATGCTGGACAATTTAAGCAATTGTCTCATGAACCTAAAAGATTCAGGTGACTTAACGGGATTCGAACCCATGACCTCTGCGATGCCGGTGCAGTGCTCTAACCAACTAAACTATGAAGTTACACAGTGGAGTGAAGGTCAATTTGTTGGTCTCGTATTTTCCCGTGAATGCATATAGCATTCTTTCATATGACATTCCTTTCACGGGAAAATATCAGCCCAACAAATTGACCTGCTTTTACTCTGTGACTTCATAGCTCAGTTAGTCATAGCAATGCACCGGCACCGCAGAGCTCATGGGTTCAAGTCCCGTTGAGTCACCTGAATTTTTCAGGTTCATTAAACAATTGCTTAGATTGTCCAGCAAAAGTGCGAAGACCATATCTTCATTTAAAGTCAAACTCCGCACTGCATATAAAATTCTTTCAAATACAAGAACTATTGCTTAAAGCTGCAAAGGGAAAGAATTTACATTAACAAATTGAAGTAAACATGCAGTAAAGACAATTGTCTCTACTAATGCCTAATATTATCAAAAGACAGTGTAAACCCAGGCCCAAGCAAAGTTCCAGCAATAACAACTCCACAACCATTCCACTTTTTGAAAGCACTCAATTATGAAGAAATTTGCCGCATCCTCTAAGAAATTAAGGTAATTATTTAAGTTACCAGTTTTTAAACGGAGAAATGGGCAAAAAAAAGCATTTGATTTGTTAAAAAAACGACTGAGTGAAGAAATGACCCTGTACCAACGAGTTTCACGTCGATGAATGTCGTCTAGGGATATCAGCAGCGTTTGCACAAAAAAAAACCCGAACACAATCATTGGTAAGAAGTTCAATACGCAAGTTGGTCTCTTTCAAAGAGAATGAGACTTAGATGAATACTAAACTCTTCGTTTTCGGGAACCATGAACACGCTTTCTGCCTAGTGCCAACACATATTTGAGTATTTAGAGAACGAAAAGCATCTTGAAGTTTAAGTTACATAAGAAATACTACTTTTAATTTTCCTATCTTTTTGTATATAGTCACAATAACGTATTTGGACGAATGAATAGGGAGTTTTAGCAAGATTACGATTACGACTACGAGTACGAAATTTGACCGTGTAAGGGAATGGCACGAGGAGGTTCGTAGTCGTTGTCCGATTGTCAAAATGTTACTTTAGCATGTAAAAAAATAACAAACGCGAGTACGAGTATTATGGCTATTTGCAGTAAGGCGCTTTCCGATGCCACTTCGACTTTATATATCAACGATGTTATAGACGAATCAGAATTTGCACTTTTTAACTATAGCACATCAAAGAAATCACCGGTTTTGAAGTACTGGGATAATGAAAACGTTGAGACGCAACTGCAGTGTATGTCAAATAATGAGTGCCGATCAGATTTTAGAGTGCATAAGGAAGATACACCTGTTTTGGCAAGCGCTTTAAGTATATGTCAAATAAAGAATTTAAGAATTCCAGATCGTTTTTGTTGTCCAAGCAGAACTGTGGCAACTGGTATAGAAGGTCTTTGCGTTGCTCTTAGGCGTTTTGCCTATCCGTTTAGGTTCTGCGACATGATACCTCGCTTTGGTCGCTCTGTTTCAGAGTTGTGTTTGATAATGTTAGAGGTGACTGAGTATTTGTACAATATTCATGGTCATCTTTTGAAGAATTTGAATCAACCATGGCCTAACCCAAATCATTTGCAAGATTATGCTAATGCGATTATTAGAGTTGGCGGTGCTTTAGACAACTGCTGGGGAATTGTTGATGGTACAGTGAGACCTATCTATCGCCCCAGAGAAAATCAACGTGTTATGTATAATGGCCATAAAAGTGTTCATATTATCAAGTTTCAATCAGTTGTGGCACCTAATGGCCTTATTGCTCATCTTTATGGTCCAATAAGTAACTTTTGTTGCATATTGCATTATTGTTATTACCATTAATTCATTATATACGCAGTATATATTATATTACATTTCTTGTAGTCTTGAGTTATAATGCAAAAATATTATGGGTTTTGGAGACAAAAGTAACTTTTTTAAGTTTTCTGAATTTTTAAAAGAATTTAAAAATTGGATTGAGTACAGTTGGGAAAATGTATTCTGTGTGTGCCCTATTGAGAAATACATTAAGTTGTCTGTATGGCTCGACTACAAGCTTTTATGTTGGATTTTTTCCTCCCACACTGCAGGAATACTTTCAACTATTATAATTACACAATTATTCAGTGTGTGAATTAACAGTGCGCAACTTTCAACATAGTTTGGCCAAAATATATAAAAATGCACATAATTTTCAAATCATATTCCAAAAAGAAAATGTCATGCATTGATTACTAGCATACCAATTTGCCTTGCTTGTGAACTGACATCAATATGATGCTTCATTTTACTGTTGCATCATTTTATCTTAATTTGTTTTCATTTTTACTATTAATTATTTTCTTATTCAATTAACACACTGCTGTTAATAAAACATGTGAATTATTTAGGAATGGAACATTTATTTACATTGGAAATTGAATTGTTTATTCATACATATGTACAAAATATATTGATAATATATGTACAAATATGTTACTTGTTAATTATTTCTTAATATTTGTGTAAATTATTATTGTAAAAATATTATAATGATATAAATATTATATAACATGAGATAATTTTTACATTTATTCTATACCAAAGAATTTATTAATGTAAAATAACAACACGTAACACTTAACATGTAATCTTTAGTGTTCAATTATTTAATTTCTTAGTAATTTCAGACAAAGTGTGTAAGATGCACATAGTTACAACCTGATGGCTTTGTTGAAACTGCTGCTGTTGGGCAACCATTGACTTTATCAACTCCTCTTGCTGTTTCGATTGATTCTCTATAAGATTTAGTTCTTTTTCTCTTGATTCCCTTTCTTGTTCTTTTTCTTTCTTCTCTGTCTCAATTGAGGTCTTTATTAGTTCCATCACATCATAGTTTCATCTTCTTTTTCTCTCTGGTATAGCTTGTTCTTCATCCTCTTCATTTCGCCTTCTTCGTGTTTCCCTGAACTTCTCCATAGCTTTTCTCATCTCTTCAGCACTTTCCTTTTCCTTGTTTTCTTTTTGCTTTATGATTTCTAGGGTAATTTCATATTCATTCATTCTCTCCAATGTGTCAACCATTGCTCTATCCCTCTCAGCATACTCCACATCTATTCCACTTGCTCTTTCTTCCATTGATTCTTTTTGCTTAAATTCTTTAACAATCTTCTCAAACAGCTCCCTCACAGAACTTTGATTTGTCTTCATACCGATTTTAGTCAAGTTTGTGGAAATTTGTGTCTAAATGGCTCCTCTCTTCTTTGAAACTTGACGATGCTGAAATGCTTCCAGCAAAAGCACTTCTCGAAGGGGACGTTCATCATGAATAGTCTACCAAATGAAAATTTCACCTTTACTTGGGGGCGTTTGTCATCTAAAATAAGCAATACAAAAATATTTAAAATAACATTTACACACTCAGAAATTATCAAACTTAACTTTTTATAGCAAAAATATCATTTAAAATTTTCGTTGTGATAGAAAAGAAAGAACTATTTAGAAATATTTTCTCCTTTAAAATTTGGCTTATTAAAAGAAATTATAACTACTGCAAAATACTATCTCAGCCAAACGAAAAACAATTGACACAGAGTAATAACATGTTCTTGAATAAAAGTTCACTCTTCACGCAGCGACCGAGAGTTTAGTGTCAGTTTTGGAATATTTTACACTATAATTTATTCATGTTTATGTATAGATGCATAATTTTAATGCATCCGCGTATAAGAGAGGCAGTCAACTACTCTTTGCTATACTTGATTAGTTGTTCACTCGTCGTTTTGTCTCGCAGATACATGAATTTTTCATGGTTTTATTTTTATATAGAATTTAGACAAAAGCTCAAAATACACCCTTAAGGACAAGCATGGATGGTTTAACGTAGTATTTTGACTTAATTTCACACGAAAAGATAAAAAATACCATCTTACCTGGCTTTT